CCCGCCTCTCCCCCAGGCATAGGGACTAGGCACACGCGCGAGACCCGACCCGGGAGGAGTGGCGGGAGGCCAGCGAGGTACAGAGCTCAGCACACGGCCAAGAGGGTAACACCCCCCCCCCCCTCTCTCTTGCTCTCTCTTGCGCGGCACGCGCGTGTGCGAGCCAGCAACAGGGCCAGGTGCCCGCGGTTATGCTTTTGGCCTTCCAGTCTATTTAGGTAATGCGGCAGGCCGGGAAGGGCGAGTATGGCGGGTATATGCTAAAATGGTACATGTCACGGGATCGGGTCACTGCACGTGCTAGCTCTCGTCCGGCACGGAGACGGAAGCACTCGCACTTTTCGTCGCGGGGAAAAGGATGATATCACGAATGTGCGCGCTGCCAGTGAGCATCTGAGCCGGACACGGCAGCCGAGGAGAGAGGTCCAAACCAATGGACGATCAGTGCAGAAGGGAGGAAGGGTGTTACTGGCAGCACAGGGCGATCGAACGAGGGGGGGAGGGGGGAGGGGGGATCTAGCACCCTGTGCGAGCGAGCGAGCGAGCAGAGACACCGCCGCATGGAGGCGCAACCAGAGGCAAAGGGGCTCGATCGTGTTCACGCACCATCACCAGGCGGTCTACGCCTAGACCCCAGCCACCGGTCGGCGGCAGGCCGTAGCGCATGGCCTGGCAGTAGTCGTGGTCCGGCACGTGGGCCTCATCGTCGCCAGCCAGACGCGAGGCCGCCTGCTGGTGGAAGCTCTGGTACTGGGCATTCGGGTCATTCTGCTCGGAGTAGGCGTTGACCAGCTCGCGCTGGGCCACGAAAAGCTCAAAGCGATCGGACGCGTGCGCCAGCGCCGGGTGCGCCTTGGCCAGCGGGCTCAGGGCCGCCGGGTGGCCGGTTAGGAAGGTCGGCTGGTCGCAGCGCGGCTCCAGATACTCGGACACCAGATGGTCCACCACCCGGGCGGCCGTGAGCGGGGCCGGTGGCAGGGCTCCGGGCCCAAGGCGATCGATCACCCGCTCCACAAAGAACTCCAACTCCACATCGGTCGACAGATCCGGGACCGGCGCGCCGAGGAGGATCTCCAGCTCGTGTGGGATCGACATGCGCTGAGTGGGGAGGGCGAGAGAGAGAGAGAGAGAGAGAGGGAGGGAAGGGTGGGTCAGTACACGACAGGTGGGAAGAAGTTGTCTGCAAGGACAGCCATGCACGCACCTGGAAGGGGGGGGCAAAGTCCACCTCGACCAGGAGACCCTGCTTGTTCTCCACGGTCAGGACAAGGGAGTCGCCATTGATCTTGCGGATGATTTCTAAAGGGGGGCCGCCAAAAGCCCATGGGGAGGGAGTGTCAATGCGTGGCGAAGAGATGAGGAGAATGAGAAGAGGAACGGGAGGCGGGAGGGGTGAACGGGGAGGCGGCCTGGATCGAGCTGACGAGGCGGGCGGAGATATGCGTGCGTATGTGCGTATGTGCGTGTGTGCGTGTGCGTGCGTGCTTGCGTGTGCGTGCGCGCGCGTGTGTGTGTGTGTGTGTGTGTGTGTGTGTGTGTGTGTGTGTGTGTGTGTGTGTGCATGTGTGTGTATGGATGCTTTGGCGCGTGCGTGTGTGCTTGCTTGTGTGCTTCACTTTTGCAGCAGGAGGGGCACGCACCACGGAAGAGGTTCTCGGTGAGATCCATCATGTCCTCGCAGTTGGCATACGCCTGGTACAGCTCGCAGGTGGTGAACTCCGGGTTGTGATCATGGTCAATCCCCTCGTTGCGGAACTGTTTGCCAATCTCGAAGACCCGCTCAAAGCCACCAATGACCAGGCGCTTCCGAGGGCCGTCCAGGGGAGGGGGGAGGGGGATGGCGAGGCATCGGCATTCGCAAGGGGAAAAGGGAGGTAGATGGGGGTCCCCGGGGGAAAGGGTTGTTAGCAAAGGAAAGGGCATCGGGAAAGGGCACGACGCCAAGCAGGCACCACACACACACACACACACACACACACACCTTCAGATACAACTCCGGCGAAATGCGCATGCTCAGATCACGGCCCAAGGCATTGGAGGTGGTTTGGAAGGGCCGGGCCGAGGCGCCGCCCGGGATGGCCGACAGGACCGGGGTCTCGACTTCCAGGAAGTCCAGGTCCTCGAGGAAACGCCGGAGGGTGGCAATCACACGCGACCGGATGCGGAAACGCTCGCGCGCCGTGGTATCCAGGATGAGCTCCAGATGTCGAGCCCCGGCGGCACGGGACGAACGCACGGGCCCCGGTGCCGGGAGGGGAAGCGTGCACGGGGCCAGCAGCCGGGCCTGGGTGGCATAGAGACTCGGCTCGCCGGATTGGGAAAAGCGCGTGTGCCCGGCAAACTCCACGACATCCCCCCGTGTGAGATTCTGCACCAGATCGGTGAATGGGTCCAGGCCAGGGCTGGCAGGGTCGGGCGCGGCGAATTGGCGGCGGTTGGCCACCACCTGCAGCTGGTGGCCATCGGCTGCCAGATCCACGAAGACCAGATTGCGCCCAGACTGCCGGATGCCCTCCACCCGGCCGGCGACCGAGGCCTGGAGCGACCCGAGCAGCGGGTCGTCCTCCTTGGACGCCGGGGGGGTCTGATGCGTGCGGACATGCTCCACCACCGCCCGAAGGGCCAGGGCATCGGCCGGCCGGCGGTAATGCGGGAAGGCCGGGATGCCGGCCTCCTGCAGCCGGGCCAGGAAGGCCATGCGCGAGACGGTGAAAGAGTCGGCTCCGGCCTCGGCATCGGCCGGGGTGATGGAAGGAGTGGCGGTGCTGAGGGCTCGCGTGGTGGCTGGCACGCGCGCCAGGGTGACGAGCGGTCGGCGGAGGGCCGCACACCGCCGGGCCGCGATGCCGGAGAACATTGCTGACGTGTCCCCTTGGTGGTGTGAGCGTGATGGGAGTGGGGCGCAGGGGGGGCGGGGGGGGGGGGGGGGGGGGGGGGGGGGAGGTCCCCGCGCGGGTGGCCACCCGCGAGGGTTCAGCCCCGGGGCCTGGGTGTGGTGCGCGTGCCGCCTGCGCCGGATGCTCTGGCCGTGCTCCGGAGGCGGGGTGATGCATCACCGCGGGCGGAGGCGCGGGCAGAGGATCCGGCAGGGACACGCAGGCGGCCCTGTCGTCCGGGCGAGTCCGGGAAGTCGCAGGGATGCGCATGGGTGCGTATATGCGTCCCGGAATACTCGCGTGTTTTCTCTTGTTTTCTTTTTTGATTCAATCTCTCTCTCTCTCTCGGGCGTGCATGCGCGAGCGATTCTTCCGGCCATTGTGTCTCGTGCTCGCTTCCGAGGGTGGTCGTCGTCGAGTCACGAGGCACAATGGCGGCGCTGTCGGGGGCGGACGGGGGCATGGAGGGGGCGCGCGCGCGTGTGGGGCGGTGTCGCAAAGGGAGGCCCCACGGAGCAGGACCGGGGG